TATCTACAATCAACTTGAACTGATCCAAAAATTGCTTGATACTATTCAACACTTAGCTAAATTTAAGAATATATAAATTATATTCAGGAATATCCTAGACAAATTTAATTTTATTTTTGCTAATAATAATCAAATTTTGGTTGTTATTTATTGGAACTCATTTGCTGCTACTTATCATGGTTTGATATATTTTAGCAGATTTTAGCTTAACAAGTAAATCAATCCAATCATTTATCGATATTAATCTAAATTTAGATTGACGCTATATTGATCAAAAATTTGATTGTAATACTACCCTACTGGATTAATAGTATCCAAAATTTCTTTCCGTGTATATGCATAGCTAAATCAAAGGAAATAAGCAGATTTTGCAGAGATTGATTGGCTGCTGAAGAACTTTTAAAATCAATGTTAAAATCTCCAGATAAGATAACTTTAGAATGCGAAGGCAAATCAACCAGTATTGTCTCTAAATTAATCAAGAAGTCTGTAATATTTGATTCCGGAGGACGGTAGATACATAATATATAGATATTAGCTTTCTTGTTAACAGCAATTGAAAATTCAAACTCCCTTTCTTTACACAGATGGTTATACTTATCTACAGGTTAAATTTGAAAGGTTTGTGAAAATTCTTTATTAATTAAAATCACAGTGCCGCCATATCCAGCACCCGAAGTTCGGCAAAAACACGAAACATTTAAATACCCTGGTATATTACATGGTTCCAAAGAGTTTAACCTCGAGTTTAACCAATGTTCAGTAAGTAATAGAAAATCAGGGTTTTGATTATTATCAAGTAAAACACATAGTTCATCAATTTTGTTGCGAATTGAGTGAATGTTAAGTACTAATGCTGTTACCCTAGTCTTACGAAATATGTCCCTATTGATCTGCTCTTGAGTGGGGGAACGTCTAAAAAATTTCTACTATTCATATTAGTTGAAAGTTCATCATCATTGACAATTATTGTAGGATCAATATTATTTACATTATTATCAATATCATTACAAACACTACTAATTACCTTATCGACTGAAACCGCAGATGCCTGCAATATTATTTCTCTAAGACAGGAGAATGACCTGGCTTGGAAAAAACCATCAACGGCTGCATGAATGAACATGGCCATTTTTGATAAACCCTTACTATTCAAAAATAAATTTCTCGATACATAGTCAGAATATCTAAATTTGTTGTAAAGGTCGGTTTGATAAGCAAGACGTCCACAAAGTTAAGAACAAGTAGAGGCATAATTTTTTGAGGAGATTGAATGCGCCGTTTGAAATATTTTGTAACGCACGTCGAACCATACAACTACCCAACAAGTTAATACTAATAAAGATGCGAGGTTCATCGCGATCATTACATTGGGCTACTGTTCGGCCGGTTAGCGCTCAATCCTTCTTGTGGGTGATTAAAAATGTATCGCAAAACAGGCGGAGGAAAGAGCCATAGGGTTTGCTGCGGGTATAACAGAGACATACAAAATGTCAAGAAGAATTAATTAAATTTCTACAAAAAAAAAAATAGATAATTTTTGGAATTCTGATTTATGCCATTGTATAGCTAACACACATATAAGAATGGCGCTTATTAAAAAATAATTTGATTAACTTTCTCGTTTTTTTCCAGTTTAAATTACATTTTTATAATTTTTCGAGAACTTGTTTCTATTATCGGATTTCTAAAAAGATAGCGCCATTCGTCCCTATATTATAAATCGAATGCAAAAAAAAAATGAGGTTGAAATTAAGAACGCAATGCATTCCTTGTTTCATTCATCTCATTTCCACCAAGGAGTATTAATAGGAGAGGAAGAATACAGTGATAGACTGCGTTAGGTGCTTTGAGCAGGAAAAAATATTTTGGCATTCAATCCCCTTAAGTTCATCGGGGTATCGATTGGCAGATGAACTTTGTGATGAATTTTTTTTCGCTGCTCTGATTATCATTTCAAAGAAAGTTTCATGACGATTTGGGTTATTAAAGAAATCCACCTCTCTTATTTCAGAATAAATATTAGCCGATGTCGAAAATGTATTCTTTAATATTGAATCTTTTCCAATGTGCCCTTTTATCTTTTCACAAATTTCATAAAAGTCTTGTTATTCTTGATTTATTCACATCACAATTCAATTTCATGAAAAAATTCTTTTTTTCCAACCTTGAACGGCTTTGGATCCTATTTTGAACGAAATTTGTAGGACTTGACCATTTAAAAAAATATATGGGGTGGCTCTGGAGGGTAGGCGGATGAAGGGAGAGAAACGCCAACTAACCCAAACTAACCCAATACATATTAAATTTGACGTGTCCGGCTGTTTTCAGCAAAAAATTTATTTTCAAAGATTTTCAGGGTGGACTGTTTTTCCTGGGGCACCCTGTATAGTTCTGCCTGGCTATAGCGAACTCGGTTATAATGAACGCTCGGATGTAGCGACCTATTTTCTCCATCAAATTTTGATAAAATTATCGACTATAACGAACTATAGTGAGACAGATTTTCATCTTTGATTAGTTAGTACTTAGGGCGCATTATTTTTTTCATTGGTGGATCCATTGTAAGTAAAAACAATAAATTTTTGCTTCTGACAGTGGATTCTAAAAATTTAGCTTAAACTGCACAACTTTTGTATTCACACTTATCATCTACATGTAAAGGTATAGAGGCTGCAGGTGGGGTGTCAAATTATAACCACAACCACACCTGTACAAAACATGTTAAAATATAAATATTAAATAGTGAATTTCTAGACAACATCAAAATTAAAATTAACAAACTCCCTGTGACTACAGAAGACTATCAAAAAATGCTTTACAATGATCCTAAATTTATTATCGGGGAGCAATTGGTGTCAACAAACTTTGCCCTGGGGTATTAACACCTTCATAAATACGTAAATAACTATTATCTATTCACAATCTGTAGTCCAAAGGTACAGGTAAAATGTATCACCTTTCAATGCTATTTGATAGGGAAAGGTGATAAATTTACCTGTACCTTTGGACTACAGATTGTGAATAATATATTCTCTATTCTCGAAACCGGGGAACAGCGTTCTCATGAGAATGAAGGTTCTGTCTTTGTTAGTGTTACGGAAATATGAATATGAGCGACGAAGACAGATCCTTCGTTCTCATGAGAACGCTGCTCCCCTGTTTCGAGAATAAGGACCACAGCACTATTCCGACACCTCTTCAACCGACGAAATGCTGGTACCAGATTGTGTTTATGCCTGGTTTCATAGCTATAAACATCGCTACGCACGTCATTATGCTGCTCTATTTGCCCAGACTGTCTAGGATGTATTGGGACGGTGGAGTCACTACTGCGAGGTTTTAAAAAGCCCCCTTGCAGTCATCCCGGTAACCCAATCCTGTCATGACCTGGACGGCCTACCTCTGAAGATCGAAAATACGGGCAGCACTAGGCACATTACTTCACACCAACAGGGCACAGCTCATGACCGAGTGAAATAGACCAAGGTAGGCAGTCCTAAGTAGGCAGTCCTGAGAACGGAATCGGAGACGCACCGAGACAAATGTCGCAAAGCAAACAGGCCACTTTGCCTGTTGTTCTATATGGACAGCCCACCTTAGTTTGGAATCGAGATTGGAATCAACAGCCACAGCCACAAACTTGCTACTTGGCATGCTATCATTTATCATTTACATCCCCAAACTATGTGAAACCCAGTGAAAAAACTACCTGTTTTGTTTTATCCTGGTTCAAGAGTACTGTTCGCCTCGAATCATTCCTTCGCGCAACCCCAGTTGTGCAGTTGCTTTCTTTGAGGGGCACGCTGACACAAAAAGTGTCGTGTCATCAGCAAAGAGTGTGAGAACCGAGCCCTAGGGAACACCTATTATGACTGCACTCTCCGAAGATGACACGCCTCCCACCCTGACAGCCTGGACCCTGTTTTCCAGATATGATCTGATGAAAGCGATACTGAGAAATTGTAATACTGAAGTTTGCACAATAGAAGGTCGTGGGTAACGCAGTCGAACGCTTTGCTCAGGTTGCAAAACGGAATCGGAATCGCGGCATACTCAAGATCCTCAGTGGAATCCAGAATTTTATTTATTAGGTTTTTAATGCCATTCACTCTACTTTTCCCGCGTCGAAAACTGAACTGACAATCTGTAAAGCAACTATTCTCCTCAAAGAAATTAACCAATCTCAGGGCCATACATTTTTCAACTATGTATTTTACAGATTATTATAGGCAAAAGGCTAATTGGTCTATAATTATTTGAAATATCATCTTTGTCTCCTTTTTATGGATAGGTATGACTAGTACTTACCTTTTTAAGAATATCTTGAAAAGTATTTTGCTCAAAACACAAGTTAACAAGTTTTGTGGAAGGAATCATTATTGTATTTTGTATACTTTTAATTAGGTTAACACTCAATCCAAAAATGTCGCTAGTGGTATTATTTTTTAAATTGATTCAAACAATATCACGGAAGATCCTTTGCAAAATGTTCAAAAATTTCAACAACTGCGGGTTAATCATGGTGGAATTTTGTTTAGAAGATGAAGATGAAGAAAATCGGAGAAAGTGTAATAATCCACCATACAGGTACTGAATGCTACAAAGTCGATACTTTTTGCAGTAGTGATAGCATCAACTACTTTTTATGAATTCCCCCAACTAATGATTTATAAAAATATCGTCATTTTGCATCTATTATAAATAAAACGTAATACAGTTTTATATTAAATTGGTAGCAAGCTTAAAGCTACTAGCCACTCACAACAATAAATTATAATAAACTGTAACGTGAAGGGAAATCAAAACTATGTAAGTAGGGATGAAAAATCCTTACAAATACCTACCTCTAGCTGAGATATTTCTTATAGGTGCTTCCTGTTTAAGCATCAGAACAAGAGCCTTTGAGTCACATAGATAAACAAAACATACTACAGTATAAAATAATAATAACCGACATTTAATTTTTCTAATTAGGTATATTTATTTATTTTTTGTAGACCTCAAAACCCAATCCAAGTTTATTAACGGTATCGATACCAGGAGCAGTTGCAGGGGAACCTCATACAAATATCATGTTGCAGTAAGTACTTCTTACAAATTGTATATCAATACTTGAGACTTTTTTTCAAATTGGATGATGATGTGCATTTTTCGGGTTTATAAGTAATTTAAAAAAATATAGTATTGGTTTCTTTTAGTAACTGTGTGGCCACAGTAGACCTAAACGCCAATTTAGATCTGACTAATATCAATGCCAGAACAAGAAACTCGGAATATAATCCTGCACGATTTCACGGTGTCATAATGCGCCTCAGGGAGCCCAGAACAACAGCACTGATTTTTCGTTCGGGGAAAATTGTTTGCACTGGAGCAAAAAATGAACATGACGCTTTCTTGGGATCCAAAAAGTTTGCAAGGATTATACAGAAACTAGGATTTAACGTAAGAATTTTCTTCTATTTAATAGTTATGTTATATCAAACTCTAAAAATGCTTCAATGTTTCCATTTTTCTGTGAACTAACCAAGTTTATTTAATAAATTACGAGTCAGCATTTTTACCCTGTATTTTTCAGTAAAGTTCAAATTGAATTTCTAGCTATAAAATAGTTAAATGTCAAAGGTTGTGCAACAAATTAGTTTCTATTTAATATAAATTTTTTCAGGTTGCATAGAGTGGATTTTTTTTATTTTCAGATACGATTCGCCAACTTTAAGATACAAAACCTGGTGGCGACTTGCGACTTGAGATTTCCAATTCGACTGGAAAATTTGAATCATATGCATGGTCAATTTAGCAGCTACGAGCCAGAATTATTCCCAGGTCTAGTCTACAGAATGATCAAACCTCGAATAGTTTTGTTAATTTTCGTCAATGGAAAAATCGTTTTTACCGGGGGTAAAAGTCGAGAAGATATCAAGGAATCTTTGGAAAATATTTATCCTATACTTAAAAGCTTTAGGAAAAATTAATATGGTTTAGTTTTCAATTTCAGACTGATAGTTAAGTTCAAGCTACCATACAAGCGTTTGTTGTATAGGACTTAAATTTGTTTTGTTACTTTTTTCAATGAAATTTATTTATTTTCCTTTTTTCTATAGAAATATATTGAAGTACAAAAACACGCTTGTACTCCTTTACGATTTACAACATCTCCAAAATGGGCAGGTATTTGATTAAACAGATAGAAAATCTAATTTTCCAATTGATTAGATTTTCATGATATCACTTGGCAGTGACGCTTTAACCTTTCTCTGGCCCGTAGGTCAATTATTTGGTATGGCCTTTCACGATTTCAAACTACTAAAAAAACCACTAAAAAATATTTCATAGCTTTTATTCTACACCATGACCAAAAAAATAACACTATATTTCAGGAACAGACGAACAGAATGGTATCCGATTCTCAAAGATTTTAGTTAACACGTAGAAATTCGTAAAGTTGTAAATCACACGATCACACTTGACGCCATAAATATTATCCATTCACAATCCGATGTCCACAGGTACAGGTAAAATGTATCACCTTTCAATGCTATTTGATAGGGAAAGGTGATAAATTCACCTGAACCTGTGGACATCGGATTGTGAATAGGATATAGATCCACGAGCAAACAACAAACGGCTTAGCGCAAACACTAACAGGTTCCTGCTGTAGTCGCTGCCAGTTGCCACGTGCCTGTGCTGTGCTAATGACGCGACGGCGAGTCAGCGCAGCACAGTGACTTTAGGGCGTGTTCCGGATTGATGCTAGATGGAGCGAGCGGAGCGATTTTAGAGTATCGTGACGTCAGGCAGTGCACTCTGGCCAAACCAAATGTGCTTGTGCAGTGGGAATTATAAGAATTAAAGAGTTTTCAAATATGTGCTACTCCTGCTACATGCCTGCTACTAAACAAGTCGATGGTTTTAACATAGTGGGCTTTTATATTTTATATTATAAATTAAAGGCCAGCAGTTGGCCTTCCATCCTCTAGTGGCCCGTAGGACATGACCTAATTGTCCTAACGGATAAAGTGTCCCTGTCACTAGGATGGGCAGGGATCTTAAATATCGTGATCATATCAAAATATCGGATATTTACATAATATTGGATCTTTTCATTTTTGTGAATAATGCCATTATGCCTCGATTTATGCATGTCACATGTCAAATTATGATGCATAAAACATCACATTGAAAATAAAGCCAAAAACCTAAACCCATGAAAAGAATTCCACAATACGAGCATAAGGTGAAAAATATTCATTACGCGAAAAAAAAAAAAAAAAAATTACAGACATTATGCTAATATGCAACTACATATTTCAGAATCAGAACAACCCATTTAGCCAGTGGAACTTCACAAACGTGAACCTGTTCCAATGTCATAAGGAAGGCAATGGAAGAGTTTTATTCAGTATTGCTATTGCCATCCTCTGCCTTCTTGCTCCTCTTACATATTGATTGTTTGAACATGCTTTTTGCATTATTAGACAATAGTTAATGTATCAAATTCTTATTGACAAAACTTGAATGCTAATAAAATAGTACTGAGCATGCATTGGTAAACCAACAAGTAGTCGTAATAGATAACAACAACATACACAGCCAAAATAGTCAGATGTTAGTTTGGAAAAATTCATCCCTTGAGGAGAATGCTTTTTTTATTAAAAATAGTTTCAAAGCATTGCGAAATTGCTTATTAACTTCTGAGCTAATGTGATTGAAAAGTGATATTAAATAAAGGAATTCCTTACCAAACTGGAATGAGCAATAGGAACAGGGATATTATATGCCAGTCTAGATGAGTTGGTTTGCTGGTGATATGGATGAGAATTTTTATTCTTATGAATTAAACAGGCTCTTTCTAAAATAAACAAAGATGGCAACGTTTTATTTCCATTTTCCACAAACAGCGGTCAACAATGCGTTCTTGGATTGCTCAAATTTCTGACTACCCGCTTTTGTGGAATGAAAACTGATTGGAAAATAATTTGAACTTGAACAAGCACCCCAAAACCAAGAGAAGGGTATATATGATATGTGCCTGGATGACAGCAAAGTAAACATCAATAGCCACACTATATCCCAATTCCTGGTATGTTGCCCTGACAAAAAAGCAGCCTGAAGTTTTTTATTTACCTTTGTAATTTCAAGTTTGTTCTTGAATCTTAGTCCATCATCAATAACCAAACCAAGAAATACTGACTGGGCTGCAAGGACAATGTTGTTGCTGCATCACAACTTAAACCCAACAGGTGTGTCTTAGTCGCCGTTCAATCTTTGCAAGATCAGAAGCTATGTCTCTACCTAGCTGCTTTAGGTCTTTGTTGCACCAACGAACTGTGGTATCATCAGCAAACAGAGTAAATTGGCCATAATTTCCAGCGTTATAAGATCATTACCTAATGTAAATCGAGAACAAAACAGGACCAGGGACAGATCCTAGCAGAACTCCACAACTCACAAATTGCCTACCCGATGAAACCCCACTAATGTGCACAAATTACTCATGACCCGAAAGATAGCTCTAAGACCAAGTGAGAGTCAACCCTCTGACGCCATAGACCGAAAGCTTTCGCAACAGTACTCCGTGAAAAAGCTTTCGACGGTTCTCAGAATACTGACAGTCGCTTTCTTTCTGTTTATTCTCAAAAGCACCTCAGAAAGTTAAACATAGCATCAGGGCCATCAGGTATACCCTTATTAAGTCATACTGGCACTTTATAGAGAATATTATCGTCGAAGAGGAATTTTACCAGACGCTCTTTGGCCAATCTTCCTACTAGTTTAGATAAAGTGAATAGAAGAAAAATTGGATGGAATTGAGAGATCGCCACCCTTGTACGATGGAAATATCATTGCCCTCTTTAAACTTACTAGAAAACGCTAGAAATGAGCCTGATGCAAAAAAGATCTTGCTAGCTTTAGAAAGGAGTTCTGATATTATTCCAAGAAAGTTTCCAAAAAATATGAAGAGAGATTCCATCCTCTCTTGATGCCCTCGTATTCTTCATCATAGTGTTTTTAGAAGTGGTGGGCAAAAGATATAATGATTACATGCAGGCAGTGCCAACAGCTAAGCTCAGCCACTCAGCAGGGACTTTATTCTTGAAGCTGAGGAACAGCGTTCTCATGACAACGATTGCTCTGTCATTGACAGCATGATTGTCAGCTGTGATTGTCAGTGTTATGGAAATATGAATACGGAGGACGAAGACAGAATCTCCGTTCTCATGAGAACGCTGCTTCCCTGAACTTAGCCGCTGGCACCGCCTGAATGTACCCAATGACTCAGCTACTCCAAAATTTGATAAGTTAACCAAAGGACACAATAAGCCGGCGGAAGAGACTGGGTCAAAGTGTTCGCCATAGAACAAAAGTTATTCAGTTAATTAAAGTTAATGTTAATTTCGAAGGAGATGAATTCTTGAGTTGATTTCATTGATAACAGACAAAGCCTCCTTGCTTATTTGAAGATTATCTACAGCTCTCAAAATAATAAAGTCCTTTGCATCAGGAATAACATGTATCATTGCATTAAACCCCCATCTGATTTTGTGGATCGATTTTTTAAATTAACCAAGAGATCTCAAATTTGTTGCTAAAATGCTGATAGAGGATCTCCCGACTGAAACCCAGATTCCAAATCCTTCTGATTTAAATCGGAAATCGTACTAGAATAACGTTATAATCAAACATGAAAGGATCGAATAAATCACAAACAATATTTTCATCAATATTTTGAGCTACATAATCTATAGTAAATGATGATAAAAAGAAATATATACTGAAGACGAGCCTTAGGGACAAGCGAATATCGACCTCAACTTATTTTTAAAGGCAGTTGGGATGCAGTTGAAATCGAAAATCATGGAGATATAATATGTGTTAAAAAAGCGCATAATACGGTTCATAGCGCTATTTTTCCCAATATTGGTTCGACTTCTATTAGTTAGGAATATGTTTTATTTACAACCACATACGTAATGTTGACATTTCTGACTTTTCAAAAGTTTGAAAGTGACACTTTTTTGAATTTTACTTTCCACCCGGGTGGAAAGTGGTCCCGGGTGGAAAGTGCTCACTTTCCACCCGGGTGGAAAGTAAGTTCTCATTTTTTAAAATGTTTAAGACGAGTCCTGCATGTCAAACGTTTTTTTAAATGAGTCAGAACTTGTCAACAAATTTTTAAATTTTTTTTTAGTATTTAGTCGAAATTATGAGGGTTGTAATTGTTGTAAATAAAATAGTATACAAACTTCGGTAGGAAGTTTCATTCCTGTATCGAGATTATAGTTAACTTCGACGCTTCGCGTCTCAGTTAACTAACTAATCTCTCGACAGTAATGAAACACTTTCCACCTCGGTATGTAATATACTATTATTTACAATCATACATGTAATGTTGACTTTACTGACTTTTAAAAAGTTCGAAAATGTCACTTTTTTGACTTTTACTTTCGGCCCACGGGTCGAAAGTTTACTTTCGACCCGTGGGCCGAAAGTAAATGAAATTGTCAACTATTGTATTTTTCAGTTTTAATTCAAATAAATATTTCAAAATTCGAATGATTGTAAATAAAATAGTATACATACCTCGGTGAAAAGTTTCATTACTGTCTCGAGATTTTAGTTAGACCTCGGCTGTGCCTCGGTCTAACTAAAATATCTCGACAGTAATGAAACACTTTCCACCTCGGTATGTAATATACTATTATTTACAATCATACATGTAATGTTGACTTTTCTGACCTTTAAAAGGTTTGAAAATGTCTCTTTTTTGACTTTCACTTTCCACCCACGAGTCGAAAGTTTACTTTCCTCCCGTGGGCCGAAAGTAAATGAAATTGTTAGAATTTATTGTATTATTTGACTTTTACTTTCGACCCACGGGTTGAAAGTTTAATTTCCTCCCGTGGGTCGAAAGTAAATGAAATTATTATGTATTGTATTTTTTTAAATTTTCATTGAAATAAAAATTGCAAAATTCGATTGATTGTGAATGAAATAGTAGGTATACATACCTCAGTGAAAAGTTTCATTACTGTCTCGATATTTTAGTAAGTGCGCGTTCACATTGACTCCGCTCGAGCGGTGAGCGTTGCGCGATGCCGCTGTAGTGATGCCCAAAATAGCTAT